ACCCTTTTCATAAATGGCTGCCAATTACAATTTTTTTTGTAAGTATTAAAACTAACCAGACTAACCTCGGTTTTGAGTTAATAATTCGAAAGAATTTTTACTCCCAAACGAGTTAAGTGAGGTTAATTTCATTGCCTACAAAATAATTTTGAAATTGGCAGCTATTTATCATTTCCAGAGTCCAAAGTAATTGATTTGGAAATAATTGGATGAGAGAAAATTTTTTTTTAATTTAATTACTTCCAAATTGGACAAGCATGTAGTCCTTTACCTACTAATTTATGTAACATTCCAAAGTTGATGAACATGATGTATGACAAATGTTGGGCCTGATATATGGCATGTACACGTACATGTTGAACATGATATACGGCAAATGTTGCTTGTACATATCGAATTTCTCTTCTTGTATTCAACTCAAGACCTTACTTGTTTGCTGGATGATATATTGAGTTGAACACTTGCAGAGAAATTCCATATAAACTCAAGATCTTATTTGTTTGCTACGTGACAGATTGAGTTGAGCACTTCAAGAGAAATTCCATATCTGTGTACATCCATGTATCATTCTATAAGTATCTGTTGCCTTTTTTTCCTTATTGTGTTTCTACCTTGAGAAACATACCCAAAGGACCGGCAAGTATTTTATGTATTTTTTTCATAGTTTACATATTCGTATTACACCTCAAGTGGCATATTTTACTGGACTGGTTTGACTCCATAGTATTCTCTATGGTAAACTCATTTTTCCTTACTACAGATGGACTTTACAGCTGTGAGGATGGCAACAGATGGACTTTACAGCTGTGAGGATGGCAACAGATGGAGACTTCCAAGCCATGATAGTGCTGCCCATCACAATAGGGGATTAGTTATTCTTTTCTTTTCTTACATGTCATTCATGTCTACTCTAATAGGTTATGTTAACGTAACACTTTTAAAACGGAATGGAAAATAGTCCGTTACCTGCTATTTACGTTGCTGTTCTACCTTGTTGAGTTCATAGATTTCGAATTACCAGGCCAGATGATCGCTTAACAATACACTGTACCGTAAAGAGTGTGAATGGTGGGTCAGGTAATTTCTCTCTTATAAAGGTGTGTAGTTTGTGAATGAAAATAATCCGTGCCTAATCCTCCATGATTAGATCGCAGAGCTCTTTAAAGTACGGAAATCCTTTCGCTTGTGGCTACTTGGCACACGTATCCTGTGCGATTTCGATTTCGTCGATGTCGACAGGAGTCATATAATCTTGACTCTCAGGTGATGCTGGAACGAAGTAGATTACATCAGGCTTTCCCGACGGAGATTCCACATTGCTAGACGGCCGAATTCGGTGAACATTCCACTCCAGTGCGGCTCTGTGTAGTTCACTTTGTATGACATCCATGAAATAGAACTTCAGGCATTCGCGGTGTATTATGCCATCATCGTGATGTAAACCAGAATCTCTCAAGTCCTTAAAAAATGTAATCCACCATTCTGCACATCCTTGCCTTAAACGTCCCCACCATGCTTCAATTCTTTGGTTTGCTGTAGATTTCCCATACATGAAACTTTTATCACCTGCATAGTCGTCATTCATGGACCGCCGAAAGAAGCGCTAAATAGCTGCTAAGTTCCTGTTCTCAGATCCCCTATCTCCACGTACAATCCTTACCGTACCTCCTAACTGTCTTGCATAGTCTAAGATAAATTGAGCTACTATACGAGGGTCGTTGTTCGAAGACGCAACCTCCAGCCATAGGATCCTTCGACTAAAGCCATCAATTGCACCATGAATGCAGAATCCAAACGGTTTTAGTTTGTCGTAGCCGTGAATGTGCCATAAGTAATTTGGTCCTTTACGCCTGTAAATTCGTAGTCGTAGTCTATGTTGTGACCTATGCTCCACCCCTTCAGGATCAAAAACCCTCAAAACATGTCGAACGACTTCCCGCGTAGTATCAAGACCGTGCTGATTGATGAGTCTCTGATGCATCGCTCGATATCCGAGAAGGCTTCCACTTCCCTTCAGTTCCTCCTCGACTGCTTCTACCACCTCATTCAAATTACTTCGACGCCGACGTCTCGTACATCCCAATCGTCTGAGTATTCTTTTCAATTGTCTTAACGAGATCCCGATACCATGTACACTTACGAGAAATAATGCGATTTCAGGTGCAGTAAGCCCAAGATTAAAATAGTCCTTGATTATCTCGTCGCGCATTACTGCATTGTTCCTTATTGCAGGAGAGTAAGATGGAAGCACTGCCAGCGATGTAGACCACACCGAAATGAAAGTGAAAACGGCGATAAACTTCATAGCTATACTGTAAAGCCAAGGCAAAACAGACTACCTATTATTTATAGGAGTCTACGTTGTTTCAAATAAACCTGGCCAGCTGATGCACCTGGCCTAACGAGGTAGCCAGGCAGCTAAGTCGCAAGAAAGTAGCAGGAAAGTCGCTGCTAAGTCGCAGCTAAGTCGCAGCTAAGTCGCAAGAAAGTAGCAAGAAAGTCGCAGCTAAGTCGCAAGAAAGTAGCAAGAAAGTCGCAGCTAAGTCGCAAGAAAGTAGCAAGAAAGTCGCAGCTAAGTCGCAAGAAAGTAGCAAGAAAGTCGCAGCTAAGTCGCAAGAAAGTAGCAAGAAAGTCGCAGCTAAGTCGCAAGAAAGTAGCAAGAAAGTCGCAGCTTAGTCGCAAGAAAGTAGCAAGAAAGTCGCAGCTAAGTCGCAAGAAAGTAGCAAGAAAGTCGCAGCTAAGTCGCAAGAAAGTAGCAAGAAAGTCGCAGCTAAGTCGCAAGAAAGTAGCAAGAAAGTCGCAGCTAAGTCGCAAGAAAGTAGCAAGAAAGTCGCAGCTAAGTCGCAAGAAAGNTCTATTCAAGGCAGCTGTCATCTCGACCGGTTCCTTCTTACATAGAGTAAGCACCAAGTGTCTTAACAGATACTCAGTGTGATGTCAGCGATTAACGATAGAAGCACTCCTCTGAATTTCACTTGATAGGTTTGGCTGTGACTCATTTTGAAAACAACATACCGTCAAGCGAAGAAAACTAAGTAAGAGAGCAGGGAAGTTGAAAACTTATCGACAGTAAAATACAGTTATATTGTAGCAAGCAGTGGTTTTAATCACCGAGCTAGCTCTATCTTTCGTTCTTTTGTCCTAAAATGAGCTTTATCCACCTAGATAATAATTTACCAAATAAAAATATAAACTCAATAAAGATCGGAGTTAAATAATTGTTTGCTCCTGTTTCCTACAAGTAACACTCGACCTTAGTTCCTGCAACTACGTGCTTCACCGTGAGTCCAATGTTGTATTAGTGCCGAGTTGTTGATTTCAGTGTGGACCTAATTTGGAATTAATTAGCGTTATTCCGAACACGAGAAACGCGTTTCCGAACTAGCAACATTCCACTAACCTTTGGTTCGCGGTTTGGTTGAAGACTTTTATTTAAACAAAGATCTGTTACGTGAAGTAATTACAGCCTCCTTTTCAACAAAATGGGAATAGAGAAACCCCGAGATACGCTTTGTAAACAATCATTATCAGGAGGTGTTGACTCTCCTTCCAAGTTATATCGCTATTTATGGGAGTTAGTTAAACTGCATTTTAAATAAATAAATAAAGTATGTGATAATGTTAAAAAATAAAATCTTTGTCGTGTCCTTCAAACCAAAGGCTTTTAGCAAATTAAAGTCTGGGAATTCACCCCGGGTGGCACCATTTGACAAGACGGGAAGATGTTTCAGTTTTCTACGGGTATACAGACAAATAAACCAATAGATTTTTGACCAATTAGAACGCACGTTTTGTCGAAGTTATGACATAAAATTGATAAACTATACAGGTGTCAGTATCTCCGTCAAGCATTGACACCCCTTGCAACCTTTTCGCCAAATCACCTCTGTTTACTCTCGACTTTGAGTGCTGTGAAAACAATCACGCCGATTGCAAATGTCCGTTTATTCTCTTAACTGAATCCTTTGTCTGCCTTAGTGGCAAATTTAATAGTGTCGTCAAGTAAGACACGTGACTCTCACCATGTTATTCTCAGAACAGATACAAATTTTGATGTAAATGTGTGAAAAACTACGCTAGGGCTTCTTTGAAAGAATCTAGCTTCACCAGTGTTTTCTCACCTCTTAAAGGATCTTCGTGTACATACAGTTTCATATCACCTGACGTAACTTGACTATCCGTATCCCCTGTCGCTGAAATTACCAAGAAATTATTTTAATTCTGTCAGGGATTACAACTATATGCAATTCCAACTAGTGCTCTAACACATCTTATAACATATCTTGGACAAAACGCGCGCTCTGATTGATCAAGAACTTACTGTATATTTGCCTGTATATCCCGGTAGAAAACTGAAACATGTTCCCGTCCTGTCAAATAGCGCCACACATATTTATGTCACAAAAGCAATAAACCACACTCCCTATCGGTTTGCCGGCTGATTAAACACGCGCAGGGTGCTGGGAGAACACGAGAAAAGTTTGTATTCAACTCAGTTGTGTCGAGTGGTTTACAAAATTTTCTTCTGTTCTCCCTTCATCCCGCGTGTTTTATTAGCCGGCAAACACGATACTTATGATATACATAAAAATAGTGCATCAGACTAAACATAACTTTAGATAACAAATAAATCTTCCTAAATACCATAAAGAAGTCTTTCTCTATTGCCTTTTCTCACCTGTAGTGGGAAGCTCATTTTTCACCTCCAGTTCCTCTCCTGTTCTTGAGAGATTACTTTCCGCCACAGCTGGAAAACAAAACGGAATCTATTGTAATGCGCTAGAAAACATCGTTACAAATCAAAGATCAAGGAGATTTTAAGGTGGCTCGTACCAGTTTCCTCGCGCGGGGAACAGGTCACTCCTGCGTGACGCGCACGAGAGAAACGTGCGAAAGATCAAAAGATCAAAAGATCAAAATTCAAAACAAAGATAGCGGCGCGTGGAATTTTTTCTACTTTTGTGAGAAGTTTACCTAAGAGCTTGTATTTGATGTGTTGAGCGGCTACTGTGAATGCAGGAGATAGAAACTAAGATAAAGAAGACGATTTTTGGAGAAGTAAAGGTTGCTTCACTTCACATTTAAAAGAAATATTCAACCGATATGAAATCTTGCGACGGCGAAAAAAGAAGAACTCAAGTGAAGGATAATCTACCTGAAGTGGAAGAAGACTTTGAAACTTAAAGGAAAATAATATGATATAGCCAGAAGTCGTGTGTAGGATTTTTAAGATGAGCCCGGGAGGAGGCTATCTTTGACAGCTGTTTAATGATTTTCTTAATTAGCAGTAAACGTCTGTAAACATCAGATCGTAGGCGCGCGCGCGAGCACACGCAATTGTCAGCGGTAGCTATAACAGATCATGAGCAAATGTCGATCTTATAGAATCCAGATTTTTAAATGCGCGAGAACGCGCGTAGAAATTGCTAAACTCACGAAAGCTATTGCATGAAAACAAGTCCGGTGACCCCTTTTTATTGTTCCAATATGATAATAACGTCGAAAGGAATCATCAGCAAAAAAAACAAGAACATTCTACGGAAGGAAATTTGCGATGTCTGAAAATTGCCCTTTTTCTAGATTTTCTGAAATTCCGCTCCGTATAATTTTTTAAAAATCTTTGTGCATTTTCCTTTTCAAGTGCCAAAAGCAATCACTGAATAAAATCATGGGGTCACCGGGTTAGTTTTCGAATTATTTAATCCACAAGCTAAAAAATGCGTCTGAATAAGCCTATGAAAGCGTTGCCATGGAAGCTGCTAGTGACGAAGTGACACCTACTTTTGGATAACCAATGATTATATAATTCAACCCCGTAAAAGTGCTCAACTGGCCTTGGTCAGTCTTTCTGTTGTATTCTTTCAAAGTTACAAACTATCAAAAAGACGAAAACCGGTACGAGCCACCTTAATGAAAGCAATCTAGAGAGGACACCATAGATTACTTGTCTTTGATACTTTATTATTGAGAAAGAATGAGGATTTGAAGGTTTTTGTCTGTCACGCTATTGCGATAGCGTGACAGCGCGAGTCGAGTTTCGCGTGATTATGTCATGTGTGTTTATTTGTTCGTTTTTTTAGTCTCGTCTGATGACACGTCGTTTAAGTGTCTGCGTCATGAACAAGCGTCAGTTGAACAACAACCTTACTGTGTCTGACAGGCATGTATAAGCATAAAACAAAAATTGCGCAATAGAAGACTCTTTCCATGTTCTCAGACCCTCACCTAATCACTCGAGAGGTTGAGAGAATTATAGCAGCCGATACGCACGGCAGTAGGAAGTTTTCGTAGCCGTTACGAATTCTACCTATGCCCCGTGAACCTATTACGTAAAGAAACACGAAATCAATTACTTCATAAAGCGCATGTGAAAAAATTTCCCACAAAGCTATCAAAACTGTTTATTATTATTATTACTATTATTATTATTATCATTACTATTATTATTATTATTATTATTATTATTATTATTATTATATTCATTTATTCCAGTGAGTAAAGTCCTTCATAAATGTTAGTTTGAAGGAGCTGGGAAATTATTAATAACTGGAAATAATGACCCTTTCCAAAATTGTGTCGGAGAAAGTTTTGCTTTTTCATTTTGAATTTATTTTGATCCAAAAGGCACTCAATACCGTAAGAGGTTATTTTATTGGACTGGAGAAATGGCATTTGTTGTTGTTTTCATTGATACTATTGTTATCAAGAAAGATTATTTGCTAAAATTCAAAAACAAGTTGATAAACAAACAATTTGCCACTTTAATCCATAGTTGTGTGGACAGCATATCTACTAAATCCAAACTGCGAACGAAAAGCGGTCAGAAATGATGACTAACCACCTTGTGGATATGTAGTTTGAGTTGTTGACTACAAAAGTTATAATCTTGTCACAGACTACATTATTAGCGGGCCAAGCTTGAGTTATGTTCGCAAGCCTTCATAAAAAAATAAAATGATGATTTATCGCGAAACTGTCTAAGCTTCGTTTTCATCATTATGGTTCCTGGGGTAAAAGTGGCACTTTTGGAAGCTTTTTATCACGTTATTCAAACATTCCTCCTATTTCTTTGTTTTTCTAAAGTAGATTAGTGCTCTGATCGATCGGCTACCCAAGAGGGCAAAATCTGTTGTCGTTTTGATTCCTGCTTAGATCACGCAAAAAGAGAATAGAAATGTTTGTAGGCGGTTAAAATACTACGTGTAATGTCGTAACTACACAGTTTATATGAGTAAATATTTTTTTATCCGCAGTTTTAGCTACTATGGATTCACAGACGCGCAAAAACATAGAAAGCATAGTGATAAATCCATTTATCATGACGACAT